AAGAGATCTCCTACACCCAAACATATACCTCCTTACCACCATTGTGGAGTAGTAGTTCAATTTCCCTTTGGTGGTCTGGATCAGTCCCCTCACCAACACTTTAAGTCTCTTTTTAGTTTGTTAACTCAGGCATGAGGAGCCCAGAAGTGCTAGAGGGAAGTCTTAGCTTCTAGTTCAATGGAATTGCTATGCATCCTGGTAGAAGCCTTGCCCCTGTGGAGCTAAGACTTCTATGCTGAGAAGAAGAGCAGAAGTTCACGAGAACAGGAAGCAAAAGTTTTACTAGTGTGTCACTAGAGGTTATGGTGAATGGTGTCTTTCTCATGGCTGATTCCTTGATTCCTGGATCTGTGAATGCTGAGTATGAGAGAAGAGTCTTCTGGAGAACTCTGTCCCAGTCCTGCAAAGTATTACCACGTTGCTGGTACTGTAACTGCATCTTTAAAAGGCCACTCCACCATTCTATCAAATCCTCCTGCTTTTGGATGATGGGGAACATGGTGAGGCAGGTGAAGTCCATGACTATGAGCCCCTTCTCACATTTCTTTGGCCATGAAGTGTATTCTTTGGTCAGAAGCAATGTGTGGAACACCATGATAGTGAAAGAGGCATTCTGTAAATCCATAGATGATAGTTTTGGCAGAAGCATTATGTATAGGAAAGGGAAATTTATACCTGGAGTGTCTGTTCCAGTAAAGATTCCATGCCTTATCCATGATGGAAGTGACCCAACATAATCAACCTACTACCAGGTGACAGGGTTATCACTCTGAGGAATGCTACCATATCAGGGACTCCTGATCTCAGCTGCTGGCAGATTGGGTATTCAGCAGTGGCTGTATCCAGGTCAGTCTTGGGGAGGGGAAGTCTATATTGATGAGCTTATATATAACCTCCATGACTACATCCCTGCTACCATGACCACTTTGTTTATGAGCACATTGGGCAATGCCAGTATGGCTGAGGAAAGGTTGACTGCTGCCCACAGAACTAACCTCTTATTCACTTGATTACTAAAGTTCTTTTCTTATGAGGTTACATTTTTGGTAAGCAAAAATATCTTTATATCCTTCACCCATGTGAAGAGATCTATCCGCATACCTCTTCCCTAAATGTCTTTATCACCAATTTTCCAATTATGTTCCTTCCAAGTCCCTGATCATCCAGCTAGACCTTGGCTACAGCTTATGAATTAGTGTATACTCACATATCTGGTCATTTCTTTCTTGCAAGCAAAATGTACAAACAGCTGCACTGTCAGAGTTCTGTCCACTGTGAACATTTCCCGTCACCACTGCCTTTAAGGAATGTTCCAGAAAGAAGACAGTGCTGCAGCTGTTCACTTTTCTTTCATGCTGCATAATACGTAGAACCATCTGTGGATCAGGCCCTCATCTACTTTTGCTCTTCCAATTCTAGAGTACTTGCCTTGAGGCCATAGGTGTGTGCGAGGATGGAAGGCAGTATAGTAAGAGTAAGTGCATGGGCATTTGGCCTAGTTCTTGATATAACTTGTGTCTTCAGCACCATGTTGGGCCTGATCACATATATACCACTTCCATTTGATGACAGACTGTTGCATCTGTGACTTGGTAAGTCAGATGGTACCCAGTTTATGATGGGCAGTTCAGGATTCATGGTATCCCAGGGTCAGGTGTTCACTTTCCACTAAAACTCAGTAGGAGGCCAGGAGCTATTGTCAAAGGGAGAATAGTTGAAAGGAGATGGTGGTGGGCCTTGCTCTAAAATTTTAAGGGCTTCTGCTGTGATTCATGTGTGGGAGCGTGCCAGAAACTCCAAATAGCCTCCTTTTCTGCTGCTGATGCCTCAGGTACCATTGGATCTGTTGGATCATATGGCCCAAGGGGCAAGCAGCCTGAATAGCAGTGTGGACTTGTGGCAGAGTCTTCTCTTGTTCTGGGATCTACTCAAAACTAGCTTTCCAAGTCACTTGGTAAATGGGCCAGAGTAACACACCAAGGGGAGGAATGTGTTGCCACCAGAATCCAAATAGGCCCACTGGGTTTTATGTCAATTTTTTCGGTTATAGGAGGGGCCAGATGCAACAACTCACCTTTTACCTTAGAAGGGATATCTGCATGTCCCATACTGGTGGATTGCTGGAAATTTTACTGATGTAGAAGGCCCTTGAATTTTAGTTGTATTTATTTCCCTATTCTGACACATACATTCATTGCCAATAAGGCCAGGGTGGTTAATAACCTCATGCTTGCTTGGCCTGATCTGCATAAGGTCATAAATGTAACAGACCCAAGTGATACTTCATGGAAGAGAAAGGAGGTAGCACATACCCCTGAGAGAAGATAGTGAAGGTGCATTGCTGACCTTGGCAGCTAAAAGCAGATTGCTTCTGGTGAGGTATGGAGAAAAAGGCATTTGCCAAATCATTAACTATATTGCAGCTGTCAGGAGATGTGTTAATCTGCTCAAGCAAGGAAACCACATCTGTTGTAGCTGCAACAATTGGAGTCACCACTTGATTATTTTAATCTCCCTTCATTCTCCAAGATCCATGTATCTTCTACACAGGCCAAATAGGAGAGTTAAATGGAGATGTGGTAGAAACTGTATCTTTCATGTCTTTGATGATGGCGCTAAGCTCTGCAATCTCTCCAGGGATACTTTTGATTTACTGTTTTGTCAGATAGAGGCAATTCCTATGGGCTCCATTTGGCCTTTACCACCATAATAGCCCTCACTGTGATATTTAGGGAACCACTTGGGGATAGTGCCAGGTACTAAGTAAATCTATCCCAATGGTGTTTTCTGGAACTGAGGAAATGTCTTAGTTACTTTCTTCATCGCTGAGACACAATGCCCTATACCCACAGCTTAAAGGATGAGAGGTTTATTTTAGCTGTTTTCAGTTCATAATCTGTTGACTTCAAGGCAGAAAGAACATGGTGGAAAGATATGTCACAGGAAAGCTGCTCATGTCATAGTGGCCATGAAGTCAAGAGAGAAGGGAGGGCTGGGGATTTAGCTCAGCGGCAAAAGCGCCTGCCTGGCAAGTGCAAGGTCGTGAGTTCAGTTCTCGGTACCGGAGAAAAACCAAAAAAAAAAAAAAAAAAAGAGAGAAGGGAAAAATCTGTGACAAGAATATAATACACCCTTCTCGGTCATATCTCCAGTACAGCCATCTCCAGCCCATCTCACCTCCCAACACCAAGTCAGCTATAGTACTCCCAAAGCATCTAACGAAAGCCCCATCTTTGAGCACATGAAACTGTTGGAGGGACGTTCTTGATCTAAACCATAACCGGCAATGGCCACAGGATAGATTTGGGAACCTAGGGGTCCAATATGAGTTGGACCTTGGCTAACACTTCATTGGTCACATGACCTCCATAGACCCCCTACTCTTACTGGAGGACCGTAATGATGTTGTAGGTCTCTTGGAGTCAGCATTAGTTCAGAACCAATGTCCAGTAGTCCCCTATATTTCTGATCATTTCTGTTGCTGATGCCTCAGGTACCATTGGATCTGTTGGATCATATGGCCCAAGGGGCGGGGCAGCCTGAATAGCAGTCTGGACCTGTGGCAGAGTCTTCTCTTGTTCTAGGATCTACTTAAGTGTAGTGTATGGTTACCCTAGTAAAAGGCTGGAAGGCTAGTATATGGTTACTGTAGTGTATGGTTACCCTAGTAAAAGGCTGGAAGTGCCTTTGGGGAATGATAGGAGAAAGACTGATAGAATAAATTTTTGGTAGTGTACCGGTGTCCTCCCTCAAGGGAACCCAGCCTCCCCTTCATTCAAGGGGTTCTGAGTCTACAATGGCTCAAGATTGAGAACTGGTTGAGGGGCTGTTGTTCTCTGTTACTATGATTTCAGGTAGACTTTTGTTTATTTTTTAAAATTTAGTAGGCTTCCTATCTATTTGACTTCTGGGAACACCATACCTAATTAGCCAACTCCGTAAGCCAACCATTCTGATCATTGCTTTGCCTGTGTTGTCTGTTACGGTGATTACACCCACCTTGCCTTTTGTGGTTTAGCGTTGCCATTTTGTTTTGCTCCTGCAACTTGGGGGTCCAGTTATACTCATGAGAAAGTAATATGTGTGTTCAAAGAACAATAAAAATACTCATTGGCTGTACTACTAGGGTTTGAATTGTTGGTAATATTGTTATATTGGACTCAAATCTTAGGGAACTTGTAATATCCTGCTAAGGATATAGTTGATTGCTAGCAATTGAATATGGAGAGATTGTACTATGTATTATTTAGAAACGCCATATTTTCTGAATGTATTTTCTGTCAGTTATAATGATAAGCCAGGCATACTGGTGCATGCCTATAATTCCAACACTCAGGAAGCTGAGATGGAAGATTGTGGTGGGTTTGAGGCCATCCTGCTACATAGTGGCTACATAGTGAGTTTAGGGCCAGCTTGAACTACAAAACAAGACCTTGTCTCAAAAAAATAATAATGGTGATTGAATACAATTTAATATTTAAAGTTACTTTATTGGGCTGGAAACTTCCAAATTCACTATCCTTGAAATGTTAACATATTGCTTTTGATGAGGAAGGGTATGTATGGATTACTATTTAAGGTAATTGTGATCAGATTTGTGCTTTTCATCAGCATTTTTGGTCCTCTAGTATACTGTTTTATTTTTGTTGAGTATGAATCCTTTGAGATTAAATGACATGAATAACTTTATTTCATTATTAACTATAAAATGGGAGCCTTAGGCTGACTGTTTAAAACTATTTGTGTCTGTCCCAAGAGCCAGTGTATGGAGCTTCAAATATGGCACAAATAACCAAATGGAAAGTTACAGATTTCTCAGAGGAATGAAAACTATAAAGGCAGTTCATTTGACTCTGTAAACACTAGAATATCATTTTGCTTTTGAGTATTTTCATTAGGTTATCAGACTACTGTTTTATGTAACATATAATGAGTCACTTTAGTAAGATAATTTAGGGAACTTATAAAGCAGTTATATCTATTTATTTATTTTCTTTCAGGTAACTTGTCCAGGAGTGGTGCTGAAAGACAAGGAGGACATCTATCTTAGCATCTGTGTGTTTGGCCAATACAAAAAGACACAATGTGTCCCAGCCACTTTTCCACTGGTCTTCAATGCCAGAATGGTGTTTGAAAAGGTGTGTTCAGGGGGCTGGGGATTTAGCTCAGCGGCAAAGCGCCTGCCTGGCAAGCGCAAGGTCGTGAGTTCGGTTCCTGGTACCGGAGAAAAACCAAAA